ATTTTCGAAACATTTTCGAACCACCAACGGAAACGAAAAGCTGAAACGAGGGACGACCACGAAACTCAACTTCCACAAAACACAAATTGACGACTCCCAAAGCCATTCGTTCCCCTCGCAAGAACAGCCGTCAAGGAGATGCCCGTGAATGGCGGATCTCTGCTCGGAAGTGCGCTTTGTTTTCTCGTCCATTAGTCAGCGGGCAGCCATGAATCTCGCATCTGGCAGATTAATCTTGCGCAACCTTGCTTCTCGGTGAATCTTAACAATTCCATTATTCGTGTAAACTTAAAGGCGCATACGTAGCACTGTAGCTTTTAGAACTTTGGCGAAGAATATAATGTGCTGCCAACCTGTTGTGAATCACGTTAATCATTTTCACTGACAATGACACGCATCCGAGCGAAAACATAAGGACTCAACAGCCATTTGATTTCAGCAATTAATAATCCCACGGCTTTGGACGCCAAATGCATCTTTTTTTTCTAAATAGATTTAATATTCTCTTTTGCTCTGATCATTTTATATTCCGTTCACACCCTGACAAGTCGCATATTACGAATTCTCTATTCATATGCAAATATCAATTAAAGCACCAGAAACAAGCTGTGCACATTAATCTCAAACTTTATCAATGTACCCTTTTTTTATCTTTTTGTTCCCACGCTTTTTATTTTATTTTTTTTTCAGAATCCGGGTATAACAAAAAAAAATATATGCTTACTTGCTCACGACTATTCCAATTTCAAGTACTTAAACAACAGTGTGGGCCGAATACAAGAGCGTTGGAAAAAAAAAAAACATAAAAAGGGTATATACAACGATGAATAAACCAAAAACACATGATAAAGCAGAAAAATAACTTAGTTTAACGGAATTCACGTTTACGACACTATGAATATAAGCGAACACTAGTTAATGCTACAGTCTCATATCCTCTTTCCTCATCTGCATAAAACATTCAGTACTTTTAACCGTAAATTCTATTTCACTTGTTAAACTTTCTGATCCCAGTCTGCTTTATATTCTTCTTTGAAGAAAACTTTGGTAAAACATCCTGAAAGTTTGTTTCTTGCTTAATATAAAGACGATAGTCAAGCCGCACCATATTGTTACGAGAGTTTACTGAGCCATAAATAAAAATTAATGCGCTATATATTGTATACACACTGACACGAAAACGCACGCATACAGACACACGCCGGCACACACAACCATGGACATAATAAGACTCACTTACACAGACAGACGCACGAACGCTTACAGACAAACAAGCAGACACACACACACACACACACACACACACACACACACATGAACGCACACATGCATACATGCACACACACACACACACATGAACGCACACATGCATACATGCATACATGCACACACACACACACACACACACACACACACACACACTCACACTCACACTCACACTCACACTCACACTCACACTCACACTCACACACACACACACACACACACACACACACACACACACACACACACACACACACACACACACACACCACACACACACACACACTCACACTCACACTCACACTCACACTCACAATCACTCAGCTAGTCTCAGTTTCACTCATAAGTAAAGCAACTCGTTTGTTCTCTGAAGTAGTTGGTAACACTGCGCGGGAAAGGTTTGAGAATACCTGCAGCAATTAACATAGCAGAATGCTCTTTATTCTTAAGCAGATTACTACTATAGAAACTACATTCTCTCCCACATACGCTGTTACCAGATCACTTGACAAATTAAATGCTAGTTAGCTTGTCACGAACTTCTGGCTACTTTCCCACGTACGCACCCCCCCCCCTTTTTTTCTTTGTCTTTTCAAAATATCGTCAAATCATCCATTTGAGACCCATATCCCAACAATCATAAACAAATCGATAATCCGAGAAAAAAAAATACATAAGACCATAAAAACAAAATATAAAAAAGAACGCTTCGGAAAAGGAATCTGCCAACTGTACCTGTATTGGGGCGTCCATTGGCGTTTGGTCGAGCCGATGCAGCGCCGTCCCGAGCTTCCACTTCAAGGGCATAAGCTTGTTTCTCTTCACGATCAAACTCTACCCGAGTGAAAATCTCTCCAGTTCGTTCCCTGTTGTGTGAAGGAGGGAAATGAAGGCAAATATTAGCATTTACATTAACAAAAATATATGTGAAAAAATGGTCACGTGCCACATGGTTACTTAAAAGCCTCCAAAATTATTCATAATAGTGGGAAGGTGAAGTACAGTTATGGGGAAGTGCCCTAAATTGAGTTAAGGGAAAGTGCTAAAAAATAGACATTTCTGAAGGCACCACTGCAAAAGTAAATGGTAGAGTTGTCTCGGTTCTTTCGATCTCACCTGATTTCGAAGAAGTCTCGCCCTTCATTCCGAGGACTATCAACAATGCGGTAGAGAACCTGAGGAACAGAGCAGAGCATTTAGCATCATTTAAGGGCAAACTAGATCAATAATCCTTCTCCTAAACCAGAATACTGGTACTACATAAAGTACAACTACGTCCATTCTTCCATTCTATAATAAATGATGAAAAATATGCAACACTCACCTCATTATTGGGGTAAGTTCCATCCTTGTCGATAGCGTTAACCTGAGTGACCTTGGTACCGATCGGCTCTCCTTCAAGTACAGTCTCCTGTTCTCGCTCAGTGAACAAAGGAATCTCGTCGTTCACGTCTTCTAGCACAACATAGATGGTAGCTTCTGAGGCTAGTTGTTGTGGTCCATTGTTCTAAAAATAAAGATACTTACTAGTAAATGAGACAAAAGGCAATAACTTGCATTTTTTTTGTGGCCAAAAAAGAGGAGTACTGACTTTGATGTGTCCGGTTAATCAAAACCCCTGTATAAGCTAAACTGATTATACAAAATCAACAATGAGCAAGGGATCAAATCTTCTATTATGGATTACTTCTACTCCATGCACAAAGACCACAGGGGGAAAAAAAAGAGAGGTTACTTCACAAGTCAAGAAAACTTACCTCTACTCGCACAGTTAAATTGTATTCCTTTATACTCTCGTAGTCTAAGGGATGATTAACTTTGATATCTGCCCAGGTGTCACCGTTGTCTGGACGTTGTTGTAAATAGAAGGTATCGTGCTTGTTCGTTTGGGCTGTTGATCCTCGGATGATACGATAGAAAACCACAGGGTTGTCCTCTATACCAGAGCTGTGGTGGTATCGTTGTAGCAGAGTGGGAGGACAATGGTGACAGGTTAGGTTCTCAAATACTGTAGTCTGACAGCATTTAAGTATGACAGATTAGTTGAATTTTCAATATTTACATTTCTTTTGTCAAAATTTTGCATCTAAAATTTTCAAAACCCATTTCTATCTTTAACAAAATCAAAAATAAAAACAAAAAAATACATTAAGACTGTATACTACTCACTCACAAAGCTAATTCATTTAACCTAAGCTATTTCATTCCTAAATCTAATGTAAAACATCCTTTCTTGATAAATTAAATACTAACACTTGACTTCCTATTTGATGCCTAAGTATTTAACTATTCTTGAATATGCTAGTTGACACTAATGCTTTAAGCAAAGATGAAGCTATATATCTTAGATACTGTAAATGCAGCAATTATTCTGACACACTATAACTTGAATGTGCTGCATTAACTACACTGATTCTAGTTCCGAGAGAGCAACTATAATGCATCGGAGTATGAAAGTGCACTTCCTTTCTCAGTGAACTACAGTGTGCAAACTACTAAAGCCTAAAGTGTATGTCTGTTATTCAGAATGTGCAAAAAAGATCTTCTGCCACAATTGTGCTGTACATTTTGTCGCTTCAAAATCCTAACGATCCAAGTACCAAGAATTGTCAAGGAAAGTCCTCTTGGGCTAATAACAGAAGAGGGGATAAAAATTTCCTATGACAGCCACTTCTACACTTGGAAGATGAGAATTTAAAAGCGACGATGGTGAGACCTATTACTTGATATGTGAGGCCAGATCAGGTGGGTGCATCTTCTATTTCCACTCGCACGTTTTTTGCCGTAATGGTGCTATTGAAGGCCAAAAACGATCTTCACTAAATAGCTCCTGTGAATGGAATGGCCGCCCAGCCTCTGTCCAGCCTAATGAAACACTGCAGACCAAATCCTCAGCAAGTGCTATAAACTACCCGAATCTCATCCGATGACAAAAAGGAAAAAAGCAACGTAATAATAACGTGAACACAACCACCACAGGTATCCACTTGCAGGCACAGTCACGGTGAAAGAAACAAACTGTCACAACAAGAAACACTGTGCTCTGCCCAATCCACATTTATGTTGCCGAACTCAACATAACGCATCTATGTATTCTTGGATGAAGAAGAGGCATTATACTTTTGAAAGTCACTGAGACCCTCAAGCCCTATGCCTAATGCAGTAACATCTAGAACACTGCTATCTAACTCCGGGCTATGGCTAAATTACTTTTATTAATTAAAACAAGGAAACAAAACAGACTGCTTACTTCCATAGCTATCCTAAGTTATCTCACATAAAAAAAAAATAATAAAGGAGTTTCGTATATGTTAATCAAACTAACATGTGAAAATCTTCATTGTGGTGTGGATGCAAGATTAGCTCAGTCCATTCACATAACAACTAGCTATCATTGATCAAAAATCATAGACAGTAATTTTTTAAAAAGTAAAAAATAAAAAAAAACAAAAAAACATGCTGTCTGTCTGTACCAGTCTTGTTGGATAACAAACAGTTATGGACATTCCGGGGGCACATTCTCATCGTACATTCATAGCTATTTCAAATGGTTCTCAGGCAACGTTCTCGGGTAAAATGCAGGTTTAAAAGCATTCTCTGTTGTAAAATCATAATATCAAATCATAATGTCTGTACCAGTCTTGTTGGATAACAAACAGTTATGGACATTCCGGGGGCACATTCTCATCGTACATTCATAGCTATTTCAAATGGTTCTCAGGCAACGTTCTCGGGTAAAATGCAGGTTTAAAAGCATTCTCTGTTGTAAAATCATAATATCAAATCATAAACAAAGCCATCATCAAAATCCTGTTGATGGTCTGTGAGGTTAGGCTCCTGACTACAGAATAAAAAAGGAAAAATGCTTAAAAACATTCCTAAACCTACAGCTATTGTAAAGTTGCAAAAAATAAAGTACAAAAAATTAAAAAAAAAAATGTTTAAAAAGGTAAATTGTCTATAAAAAATGGGTTTTGTAATTGTGTGTATATATAAAAGTGAAAAATTAGTAAAAGGGAGGAAAAGTCCTAAGTAAGTTGAAGAGAAAGTCAGGGGGGGAAGAGTATTGGCATCATGCAAGGCTTCTCATGCTAAAGGATCATGCAAATGTTACGTGCTATGGTGGACATGCATGTTTGCTGAGGCAGGGCTTGGGAGCAACGGGTCAGCGTGCCAAATGCTCCAAATCTTCAAACAGCCCGGATATCTGAAGCAGCACACCACACTCAGTGCTCACTTTGTACCTCATATTGACACCTACCATCCTCTTGAACACAATGATCAAAAAAGATTATTGTTATTACAAGTGTGACAAGTTAGAACTGCACATATAATTAACAAGAGCAGTGCTGGTGCCAGCATGAGTGAGTGTGGGGTGCCTGCTGGAGCAGACCATCGCGTGCGGGGCAGACAGGCCCAAAGGGTCTGGTCGGGCAGCACAACAGACCTGGCCTTCACTGAGATAACTCCTGCCCCTACTGGCAAGTTTTCCTTGATGTAAATGGGGCCATAGATGGACTGGGTCCATACAGGAGGGTTGTTGGCGCGATCCACTACATCAATCTGAACGTCCACCGTGCGAGACAGTGGAGGGAATCCACGGTCCTGAGCTACGGCGGTCAGCCGGTACGATTCTCGCTGTGCACAGTTGTGGAGAGAGCGAACATTAGGGTTAGTAATGTTAGTGTCTCTGTAGACTCTCTAGACTACCCTTAGGAGACTTTAATGGCATAAACAAAAAAATGTTTAGGGAAAAGAAAAATTCTGCCACAGGTTAAAACTGCGCTGAAAACTATGAAAAAAGAGTGATACACTATAAGCGGCAGAGAGAGTGCTGCAGGGGTCGTGGGTGTTAGTACAGGTGTGTTACCCCGGCCCAGCCCAACGAATCCCTGACAGCACAGCAACACTAGCTAGTAATCACTAGTGGGAGCTCGGTGGTTACTACATGGTGGCAATGGAGTGGCCTGGCGGGGGGCCTTGAAGGAGAGGTTAGTGGCCCACTAGAGGCCCGCCTGCCATCTTCCACCACCCGCTACCAACCTGGCCTTGATGGAGTAGACGGTTTGTCCAACACTACTATTCTCTGGGATGGTGATGGGATCATAGACTCGCTGATCCCACACCGGAGGGCGGTTGGCTCGGTCCACAATACTGAGACGTACTAGTACCTCCGAGGTGAGGGGAGGGTGTCCCAGGTCCGTGGCCAATACAACCACTTCGTATTCCTCGCGCTAATCACACATACAACATTCACCACATCCGCCACACGGGGGAGAACGAGTCACAAGGTCAAAATCAGGGTGGGGTAAAAATAAAAAAAAAAATGTCTCAAAACCTAATGGATTAAGACAGCTCAAAATATCAAATTTTGGACATTAAATTAGATTAAAAACTCAAGAGTAAAAATTATGGAGTAAAACATGAGTACACAGGGGATAAAGCACAAAGGGGGAGGGGACATGAACACAAATCTTTTGACAAACAGCATATTTCTCAGGGAATAAGCTCATACAAGTACCACAAAAGGGAGACATACTGACATGATAACAAGTACCCAGTTACACTATCCAATATCAGCTATTAAAAGTCTAGGGACCTAATATAGCTTATTGCATTATCTTAACCCAAGTTTAATAGCCTGTGGGAGCTATGCAGTAAAGGTCTCTGATCTGTATTAAAAGAATGGTTAAATATTCATATCTTGTCATAAAATGTTTTGTAGCAGTTTGTTACTGTAAGTGGGGATTGCTGCAAATGTTGGGATAAAAATAAAGCTCTACTTTGGATAAACAATCTTCTTTTTTGATACTTACTGGCAAACATTTACTTACAATAGGCAGACATGACTTGAATTAAAATGGTAGAAAATAATAAGTATTAATTAGGAGACACCATGTCATGTAGGCAATGTCAGTATCAGAATATATTAAGATTAAATCATCAAGCTGTTTGTACTGACTTTATCAGAAAATTGATAACCTTAGAGACAAATTTTCAATATCCAAGAAAAAAGATAAAATAGTTTTATCTGTTCAAAACTACTAAAACCAAATAGAAAAAAGAAGCATAGTTTTCCTTCTGAATTTAAAAAGTAAGAAAAAAAAGCTACAGCTTTCTCACAGCTCACACACTTCACACTAGTTATCAAAATCAGTTTTTTAGTTAAGCAGCAAAATCTGCTAGAAAAAAATGAATAATGAACTCTGTATATATATTTGTTGAATATGAACATGCACAGTTAATAATTCAGATTTCAAATTACACCTACATTCTTCAACCAGTCTTAGCTAAATGAAAAATGCCAGATCACACATGTAAACATCAGTGTTAATGTTTGTGCATTTTTGTATTTGCATTTGTTTACTTGTATATATGCTGTGTTTGTTTATTTATGTATTTGTTTGCTTTATATGCTCTTGTATTGGAATAAACATACATTTAATGGGGTTATCATGATTAGATTATGTGCTTAATGTGTTTAAGAGAGAGTATGTATGTATGTATTACTGAGAGTCATTAAAAAGCATTCAATCCTTATATTCATTTTCCAGATTTACCTTCCACTCGGGTTCACTTCCGCTGCTGTTGCTTAAAATTTCCATCATTCACTACAACTCATCTTTAGTTAATCTTTTAACCGACACATTTACTAAGATTGGAATCAGCCTTCTGCTACTCTAGCGCTTCCGTCGGAATCATACTCACGTCCAGAGGTTTCTTGAGAACAATCCAGCCTGATTCTGGTTGGATCTCAAAGTAGGACAGGTCATCGGGGTTTGTGGCCATTGTTAGGTTGTAGATGATGGCGCCGTTGTTGTCAGCATCCTCATCGGAAGCCGAAACGCGGAGGATGTTTGTTCCCACGTTTGTGTCCTGCTTGACATTCTCAACATATTTCTGGAATGGGGATTGTTGGCTTAATTAATAATTACTCAATCAGTTAGGAATCATGCAAACATTGGACCTTTCATATTCTGTTTTCTCTTCTGTTCTTTTAATGCAACAGAAACTTACTTGACGATCAAATAATGGAGGGTTGTCATTAATATCTGTAATTTCTACAGTAAATGAACAAACACCCTCTAATGATGGGTCTCCATTGTCTGTTGCTTTTACTGTAACAGACACAAACTTGCCGTCTTCACCTTCACGATCGAACACTTTGTTGGTGGTTACTTCACCTGTTTCTGTGTCAACAGTGAATTTTGTTCCCTTTTGATTTGGTTGCTGCACAATGCTGTACCGAACCTAAAATTAAAAAAGAAATGTATTATCATTAATCATACTTATCTACACTTTGAGTCCCTGTCTTAGCTATTCATCAGAATATGAACATTAGATAGCTCGTAGTTGACAAAATTATTCTAAAAATCTGTATCCTCTATAACACACCAAGTTACCAAACTCCATACCTGTCCATTGACACCCTTATCTTCATCAGTAGCATGTACAGTTATTACTGGAGAGCCATTGGGGGCAGACTCTTCAACCTTGGCATGGTATGAAGCACAGTCTTTGAACACTGGCTTGTTGTCATTCACATCTGTGATGAAGACAACAACAACAGCAGTGGATGTATGGCGGGTTTGTTGGCCACCTGGACAACAGTTTCCATCGTCGACAGCAGTAACATTCAATTCGTATTTGTCTCGGTCGAGGGAGATTGGGCCGTTGTGCAATCGGATGACACCAGTCATTTTTTCAATGACGAACTGACCAGAATTACGATTAGCACCAACAAAACCAAAGTCAACATTGTCTCCGTCTTTATCAGAAGCCACAACAGTTGTTACAAGTGTGTTTGGTCCTGCATTTTCATCCACATTTGGAGTGTATACTTGCTGTGAAAATTTTGGTTCTTCATCGTTCTTATTCTTGGTATAGATACGCACTGTAGCAGTTCCTGCCTTGGCAGGTTCACCTGTAAAATTTTATGGTTAATTATACTTTTCCTATAGACTTAAAGTGAGTAAGATTTTAAAAATAACTATATAAAAATACACATAATAGATATACAATATTTCAATAATGAAAATGGAAATACATGCCTCTGTCTGTGGCAGTCACAACAAACTCATAGTAGGCATTGTTGTCATCAGCATCAAGAGTCCTTCGATTATATATTACGCCTTTGTTGTCCACTCGGAAGTGATCGTCGGACACACTATACACAATCTCTGCATTTGTTCCAGAGTCATCATCTCGTGCCTTGACCTAAATAATTAAAAGGACAACATATAATTAAAATAGAATACCATGAATCTGAGAGATCTAACAATACACTAACAATATCATTAAGCACCAGTACAATGAATATATAGAGAATATATATTCTTTGCAGAAATTCTCATTTGCCTTTAAAATTCACAACAGAGAAGTATTTCTCTTCCTTTACATCCGTCCAGATAATTCAAAAGCTTGCTCTCCTTAATACATCTGCATTCTTATATCTCAGTATCTCCAAAGATACAAATGTTACATATACTCTGATAGAAAAATCACACTGTCATTAATAATTTTCCTCATCCTGTACCTTGAGTATGGAAGAACCGATGGGTATGTCTTCATCAATGTTATGTGCCTGGTAATCTGGAAGATCAAACTTAGGTGGGTTGTCGTTCACATCTGTCACCTTGATGGTCAGCTGAAAGATGAAAGTAAAGGTTAATTACAATTACTTGCATACTTTATATCTATTGCCTAATACAGTTTCTAAGCCTCTGGCACTCTGCTCGGTGTATACATTTTACAATTAAACAATAAAATTATAACTATGTAAAATGTGTGATCTTGCCTGTCTCTATATCTATAATGAATTAAATATCATAGTTACTCAAAAACTATCAACTATTACTGATTTACTTACATCAACAGACGTGGAGAATCCACCAGAGTCTTCAGTTGCGGTGATAACCAGCTGGTAGATGTGAGGTTGACGGACATCTTCGAAATCAAGCTCTTTAGCCAGCTTAACAATGCCAGATGTAGGACCAATGTTGAATGTTCCAGCTCCCTGACCCTTGGCCTTCAGGGTGTATCGGATCTCACGGTCAGCAAAGGATTTTGCTTTTACTGATATGATGCTGAAAATTGGAAGAAAATTAATATACTCTTTTAATAAAGAGAATTCTCAATGTGAGAATGGACAAACAGTAGATACTATGTAATTTTTATTCTTCAATAAATTTCAACATGACTGCATATGATAACCTCTTTGTGTTCTCCAATGAAAAGTAACAACCAACAGGTACAAAAGTAAACGTGATTCACCTCCTTCGCATAAAACAACCAATCTAAAGTGACAGCAACCAATCAACAATTAATGGCACACTTACTCTGAATCCTTAGGAGCATTTTCAAGGATGGTCTTCTCGTACTTTGGCAGATAAAACTGCGGTGGCCTCTTACCACCAACGATGGAAAGGCGTTCCTCGGGTGTGGCTTGGAAGTGCTTGTCATCAATCCTTCCATTCTGATCTTCTGCCTTCACATACAGAACGTACTCCATGTCCAGCTGGAACATCTCGGATCCGCGAGTTCGCACAACACCAGACTTTTCATCTACTTCAAACCTTCCTCCAGCTGCAAGTCAGATCGTACAGTAAGTAATGACAAACTTATAGCTGATACATCAACTCTTACTTTAATTTGTGAAAAGATTAAAAAAGTGAAATAAAAGAAAAAGAAGAAGAAAAAAGAAAGAAAAGAAGAAGAAGAAGAAGAAGAAGAAGAAAAAAAAATATCCTGGTTGAGCAAGTACTTAATATGGAGCTTGTCAAATACTCATACTTTCAGTATAATCATAAAGTGTGAAAACTCTTATACACTAATGACCTATAAAATATACATTATGCTTAATATTCACAGAAGTTATAGCCAGTTAGAGTTTTTTTTTAATTACCTCAAGAATGTACACCCACTTCTATGTATGCCTCTTAACATTTTATAAACTTAAACTTGTACAACTGCTCTGTAACCTTGGGTCACTAGAGCAAAGTTACAGCTCATCTGTAGTCTAATGCAAGCTTAATAATGTAGCAGCTGAAAATAGTTTCACAGGGTTTCTACTTCTCTCCAAATGTCAAAACCCTAAGCAAGCAAAATTCCTACAACCTACAACCAAGTTATATAAAAAAAAAAAAGCCAACTATCTTCAACTACGGTAAAATGTGAAATGAACTTTGACGATGAGAGACTGCCATCAAGGATATAACAAAGACTGGGAGCTCCGCTTAATTTCCTCTCTGAGACTTCCATTTGTTTGCTCATCACTCCAAGGGGCTGCTCCTCTAGTTCATATACTGCACCGGTCTCTTGCTTTTGCCTCTGATTAATTAGACCTGCCCCTTCTAGCTTCACCATAAAGACTTGAATGGAAGCCATATCAAAAATTAAGCCAAGTCTATGAGCAGCAACTCTTTAAAAGTCCTCATCCATATTACATTTAATATATCTAAATTTCAAAAATAAATAAGTAGATACACAAGGGAGCTAAACCCCTGAAAATATCATTAATGCCATCCCTCTCTTCTGCTTTTAAACTGGTAGAAACGGTCATTCAACATGATATAAAAGCATGCACTCACTTCGATCTCTGACAAGGAAATAATGAATGTCATGATCCTTGTCAGGGTCCCGAGCCTGTAGCGTGAAGACTGGTGTGTTTGGAGCAGCATTGAGCTTGACAACTGCCTGCATCGGAAGGGGACGATTGATGAAGTAAGGAGGCTCATCATTGATGTCCGTAATCTGGAGAATGACGCGCTGATTGTCTGTATCTGCAATGAGGAATTTAACATTAGAGGTCAGAATCATGAATTCTGTGCATATAAACTGACATACAATTAACCCTCCACTGATAAAATTCAACATACTCATAGTTATCAACTGTGGCCATTTTACTTAATATCTAAATCTCAAAAATAAATAAGTAGATACACAAGGGCGCTAAACCCCTGAAAATATCATTAATGCCATCGCTCTCTTCTGCTTTTAAACTGGTAGAAATGGTCATTCAACATGATATAAAAGCATGCACTCACTTCGATCTCTGACAAGGAAATAATGAATGTCATGATCCTTGTCAGGGTCCCGAGCCTGTAGCGTGAAGACTGGTGTGTTTGGAGCAGCATTGAGCTTGACAACTGCCTGCATCGGAAGGGGACGATTGATGAAGTAAGGAGGCTCATCATTGATGTCCGTAATCTGGAGAATGACGCGCTGATTGTCTGTAT